GCATATTTGGAGAAGACAGCAGATGCAGGAGCATCTGCTTTGCAGGAGAATGAAGAGAATGCCAGTGGGAGACTAGGGTCACATATTAAAGGCTGTAGACAACAGGGCAGGGTTGAAGGGCACTGGCACCAAATTTTGCTGAGTCCAGTCTAGAGTTGATGTTAACACTTAGGTAGGAAAACCTGGATATTTAGGTGACCCTCTAGAAGGAGCCAGGCAGCTGGTACATCAGGCACACACATTCCTAGGAAAAGAGGTAGTCTTTCTTCTTACCCTTGTACTAGCAAACTGAGATTCAGTGTGGTTATGCCATGGCCAGTACATTCTGAAGTAAGACAGCATCCCTGGTTTGCCTGGTTTTAAAACCCCACGTTATGCATAGCCAGGTGCTATGTAATCCTTGCTATTCAGGAAGCTGAAATCTGAAGATCACTGTTAGAAGTCAGCCTGGGCAGAATAACCACCCAAAAGCCAGAAGTGGAGCTGTGAATTAAATGGTAGAGCACCAGACTTGAGCAAAAAGGTGAATGAAAGCTTGAGGCCCTGAGTTCAGGCCCTAGTATTCACACAAACAACACACACACACACACAAAGTCTTTATAACTGATCATGCCCCTTCTTCACACCCAAGGGTCAGCTGTTAAACCTGACCTCATAGCGATTGCACTGTGTGAGGTCACCGTGGCTTTCTACTGCTTGGCTCCACCTGCTGAACAGTAGGAACCCTGCCTGGAGCCAGAAGCTGCAAAAGGATAGAGAAAGGGGAGTTGCCAGCCCAGAGCCATCCGTCTCCCGGCTGGTGACACCAGCACCAGAGCCCCAGCAGAATAGCAAGCTTGTTCAATCTTGTCTGGCTGTTAGTGGTGATGTATGAATAAGCAAAGAAGACAGCTTCATTTTCATAAGTTCACTTGTGCCTAGAGTAAGGAAGACAGAAAACAGAGCACTTAATCATAACCACAGGGCTAGCACAGAAAACAATGACGGAGGTTTTTCTGTTAGTCATAGTGTTTTATTATAATAACGCCTGAGAAGATGAGGCGGGCAGTGGGGAAGGCATGGCGAGTCAGGGTGGTATGTCACTGCCGGGTGTGTCTCCTGAGATTGCACTTCTTCATGTGATGGCAGGCAGAAGACACCCTTGCATAATCACGGTGAAGGTTTTGAACTTGGACCTCTGGAGACCAGGATTTAGATGCCACTTATTGCTGAGCTGCAATGCTTGTGTCATCCACACTTTCACTACGGAGCAAAAGTGACCTCTCTGTGTAGATGACCAGTACCAGATAGCACCCTTATCAGAAATGCTTTGAGGGAGAGTTGGAAATCTGTGTAGGAGATGCAGCAAGGAACAAAATCGATGACTCCAGGGGAGACTTCTAATGCCAGGCAAGCGTCACCCGAGCTGCACACAGAACCACTTGTTCTGTTTCCCATTCTTCCAACTTAACAGTGTTTGTGTCATTATAAGTATCAGACTGTTTCATAATTGTTTATCTAGCTCCTCTTCTAACTGCCTCTAGGGCAAGGAATATGTTTTGTCTTTGATTCCTTAGTATTTTGTGTGCTGCCTGACATAAAGGAAATGTCAATCGATATGAAGCTGAACCAAAGTCTTGACAAGGAAAAGACCACATCCACTCAGGAAGGAAGAAGGTGGAACAGAACAAGGGGCCAGGGAAATTCTAGGTATAAATAATGACAGGAGCAAATACTACTGAACACCTCACTATTTTCTAGGTACTCTCGGTGGTATTGTTTGAATCATCAGCAAACACAGTTTCCTTTCTCAACATTAATTTGTGCCTAGGCCACCAAAAAAAATCAATCTAATTCTGAAGTATCTACTCTTTATTGACATCATTTTACAAAGGAGTAGAGAACAGACACGGAGACCTTAAATCTCTGATCCACCGTTTTACAGGTAGAAAATGGAGACATCAAGATTTGAACTCAGGCCATCTGGCTCTAAGTTCAATTTCCTTATAACATTAATGAGTTTAGGAAGTACAGAACTGGAGACTCCACTGAAATCTGCTGGCTTATGACCCAAAATTAGATAACTCGTGACTTTATTTCATAGCAGGGGGCCCTAAAGGTGAGTCTTACCCTTGGCTGCAGCAGGGAAAAAACTTCCAGTCTCTAGTTAGTCATTCTTCATCTTCAAAGTACATCTTGATTACCCAGGAAGCTTTTTTTTTTTAATGCAGTGAAGACCCTGGGGCCAGAATGCATCTGTATAAGCCTTGGATGTGAGCCATAGTAAAGCAGTTTAGAGACCACTGCCTGGACTTTGCCCTTGTCCACATTAGGGAAGCATACACCCAAGTTCACACAGCTGGGTGGAAGATACGTTGATGTTGGTGAATGGAAGAATGCAGCTTCAGTTCAACATGTTAGTTCATGACTACAATGCATCTTGATCAGTGTTGCCCCCTTCAGACTCATTTCTATAACAGACATTTGTTGATTGTCGTGTGCGTGTGTGTGTGTGTGTGTGTGTGTGTGGTGTGAGATACCACATAGGCCATGTGCTCATGCCAGAAATGAGTATGTATAAATGAGGTGTGGGTATGCCTGAATAGAATCCCCTTGGTCTTCTAAAGGTAGGATGTACCAATAGGATGTACTGACTAGAGCTGTCTGCCATCTAATGCATTAGTAAAGGTAAGATGAGGTTCTGACTTGGAGTTATACATGCAGGGGCCATGCTAGAGTTCAGCCATGAAAGCACTCTGGGTGAGGGATTGCTTCAGTGGCCCAAGGACAGTTCCTGTGGAGGGTATCTAAATGAGAGAGAAAAGTGAGGATGGAAGCAACACTACCACATGTTTTTGTTGGTCAGGACTGAAGTGCAGCTAGTAGAGGCCTTATCTAAAGTAGTAACTTAAGACAAAAGAAAATGCACATGATGTCAAAACACAAAATTTGGACTTTGGAGGTAGGTGAAGGTGACTGTACTTGAGATTCAGATGATCATCCTTAACACAATGAAAGATTACTTCCATTTAGCAGTATATTACACCTTTGATCATGCCAAACAGATCATAATACCAGTCCTGGAGTCCTTCGTAATTATGAGCCATCTGTCTCCCCCAGAAATACTTCCCCTTTACATCCTACCCTCACCATCTTACCTCATCATCAGATGAGGTATCTAGCAGGGTCATACTGGTCAGGACTGGGCATATATCTCTCAGCAAAGAGTGCCTGTTGGGTCTAATTGTTTTTTCAGAGTCATTCCAAGCTAGTTGGGGATGAAATTGATTGGCTCTTGCACTCCCTGAATTGGTGATATGTTTGTCTGAGGGATTCTACAAGTTTTGGATGTGATCATATACAATGACAGAGTGGGTGGTAGGTAGTATTTTTCCCATGCTTCTAATTTATGTAGTCGTGCTGGGTTGATGATTTAGATAGGAGCTCCATAAATTGATCAAATAAATTACACCAAACCTACACACCATCGTTTCAGAGAACTGTCATCCGACCAAGGAGGTCCTATATCACCCAGTGTGGTATTCCAAGAAAACTGCTGTGTTTTCTTAGCATGCTGCTGAGCTCTCATGTGATGAGAAAGCACTTCACTTTCCAGACTGGCCCCAAGGATAAAGAGCTTCACTCTGAAAGGCATCAGTTAACTTTGGCAGACAACAGTGATTACTTGTGTAACCATTAGCAAGTCATTTAGCCTCAGTTTCCCTCTCTGTCAGATATGGATTTATTCTGCCTTCTTCAAACCTTGGTGACAAGAGTAAGCAGTAACGCATTGAGACAGTGGAAATAATTGGGTGTCATATAAGTGTAGATCAATATCCTAGATCCATCAGTAGTAGTTGTACAAATCAGCGGTCTTATGTGAGCCTCATTTCCCAGTTTGCTAAATGGCATTGGTGATAGTCCTAGAAGAGTGTCTTTTTACCAGTGTTATACTGGAGTTGGCTAAGGAGAGCCAGATAGATCCAATGCCCTACCTTGATGGCCCACAGACTCACTCCAACCCACATCCTAGAGACACCCTAAGAGATGGACTTGAAGCCTGACTGACCTGAGATGCACAGTTCACTAGAGATGAGGCCAACATCAAAGCCCAGCCCTGAGGTGATCCCTTCAGACCACACTTCTGCATTGACATGATGCTTGTTGGCATAAGATAGATATATTTTATAGGAAACAGGAAGTATGAGGACACATGCACCACAAGCTTCTGCTCACAGGGTAGCTCTTGTCTGTGAGCTTTCATCTTCTCAAACATGGATCATTTCTTCCTCTCTCATGAAAAATTAGTCTCAGCCCATACTCAGAAAAAAAAAAAAGCCAATCAGTTAATGCACAGTGAGATGTTAGAGCTGGAATACTTGGACATGTGGTATGTCAGGCCATGGAAAATGAATGAATAGTATGGGATTCTGGTTTTGTCACAGATAAACTAGATGACCTGATCTAGCCCATCTTCTCTACCAAATAGGATTGATAAAAAGAAAATAATTGCCTAATTGTGTGAATGAAATATGTCCGAGCAAGTTAAACATTAGGATCTGAATCTTTTTTTCTCATTTTTTAAAAATTTTATTTGATTGTAAAGATGCTGTACAGAGGGGTTACAGTTACATGAGTAAGGCAATGAGTACATTTCTTTTTTTTATTGTGAAAATACTGTACAGAGGGGTTACAATTACATAGGCAAGATAATGAGTACATTTCTTATCAAGCATTGTAGCCTCCTCCTTTGTTTCCCCTTCCCATCCCATCTTCCCCCTCCCCCCTCACAAAACCCTCCTCCCCCCACCACCAAAGTTGTAAAGTTCCTTTTTTCGACATAACTTGTACGTCCCATTGTTACAATGGGTCCACCTGTATTATGGCCTGAATCTTATACTTAAAGCTTCCAGTGATTGCAAGCTGTTGTCACCCTGATTTGCCATGATTATATCCTGTATATTCCCTGGCCTGAAGCCTCAGCTTCAACTTCTAAAACATTTGTGTTCTCTTCTTCACAGGTCAGCAGGTGCTGGGCTTGGTAGAGAACCAGAGTGACTGGTACCTTGGAAACCTGTGGAAAAATCACCGCCCATGGCCAGCCCTTGGAAGGGGCTACAACACAGGTAAACCATAACACTGGTGTGGGCAGGGGTTACAAAAGGTGACAAGGTGCTCAGTGTTCCTTCAGGGAGGGGACATCACAGCGATACATAGACCACCTGGATATCACCTGGTTACTGTCAGTGGACAGTACATGGGCAGGTGAGCCTCCGTTCCTTTCCCACAGCTGCAGGCAGGATAGCAACTTGGTCTTGGCAGTCTGGACATTCCACCAGAAAGCCTTTAGCCATAGGCCTACTGAATTGTTTGCCAATCTGCTCTGTAAGTTCCTTAACTATTTAACATAGACGATAGATCATTCTGGGATAACAAACGCCCCCAAGACCTAAATTTCTTCAAAACATAAGTTTTTCTCTGTCTCATCTCATGTATATTTTAGGTATACCGGGGTCTTTGCTGCAGGTATAAGGATTCATCTTGCCGCATACTTCCATGTATGAGCTGAGAAAGAAACAGAAGTAATAGCTCTTTAAACTCCTGCTCATAGCTGGTTGGCAAAAGTATATCATGTACCTTTCCCTGTGTTCAAAAAGTATACCACACCATGCACCTAGCAGAAAGCACAATTCTCCAATAGCATGTGTGAAATTCTTAATTCTACCTTGTTACCTAACCGCAATATTCCCTCTCCTCTTTTGGTATCATTCATTCAACCATCCTTTATTCAACAACCGTCTGAATGCTGACTAGGCATAAAGGCCCACGCTATGTGTCAGACATACCAGCTCCTAGAATGAATAATGTCTATGTGCAACGTAACCTCTGGATTTCTTCTCACTTCCCTTCCATCCTCATTGTGGTTTCCTGCCCTCAAAGGATGCAGACTTAGTCTTTCTCCATAGCTGTAGAGCTCAGGAAACAGTGGTATGGGTGAGGCAAGGAAGAGCTGCTACCCAGCATCGGAGACCAACAGGTGTGTTGGGTTGGGGCAAGTGTCTCAGAGCAGCATCACCTGACCCTAGAGTCTAAGGCCAATCCTAGTGACAACAGCCAAAAAAATCATCTCTGAGAGCTGATGGTTCAGATTGCAGAAACCACAAAGGATATCAGCTTTCAGAGATGGGATCAGAATAGAGGTCAAAACTTGAGGAGGACAAGGAAAGAAAGCCCAGTATCATGCCTTGAGCAGCCAGATGTGACAGTCAGGGAGCCCTATATTGAAGGCCATTCTTGGAGATGGGCATTGTTCCCTAACTGATGGTTGCTATAGCATCAAGCCTGTAGGGCTCTCTGTAAAACCTCCAAGGCATACCAAAGAGTAGTAACCACCATCCCCTCCCAGACCCACAGCTTCTCCAAGAGCCCCTCCCTTCCCACCCCCCCCCACACTGTGCTGATGTTAACCCTTTAGTTGCTAGATAGTAGATAAGTGTGAGGAGTCCCTGTGAGGGGTCGGGAAGGTGAAGGAACTGAGGAGGGATAGAGCAGCAACTCTTCAGTAGCAGGGAGGGAAGTATTTAAACATTCCAGTTAACAGGTAAGCAGGGCCTCTACATACCAACTAGGTATTATTAGACAGGCACTGTGCCGGCTTCTTTAAAGGTGTTAATCTCATCTGATCCTCACACTGAACCCAGGAGGCAGATGTTATGCTTATCTGTGTTTTACACAAGAGGAATCTAGTGCTCAAAGATCAAGGCTGCAACCTTAATAAGTAGAAGAACCTGAGCCATTAACTACTCACCGTCCTTACTTATGCTTTAATGGTTTCAGTGTCAAAGACTTTTTGCTTTGGTTTGTTTTGCTCAGGCTGGCTTCAAACTGGTGGTCCTCCTGCCTCTGCCTCCCAAGTGCTGGGGTTCTAGGCATATGTCACCACACTCTGCATACTACACATACTTTTTTCTTAAATTAAGAACCTTGAGTCCTGTTCTTGAAGAATCTGGTTGGGCTGTGAGGGAGCCCAGGAAGTCTGCCCTACAGGAAGTTTCTAGGATGTTTCTGGAGCAGAATATAAGATCCTGCTCTGACAAAACATGGCATACTCAGCCAGCTTACCAAGCAGCTGTTTGCTCAGTTCATTTAAGGTTGGACCCTGAGTGAGCCCACCCTACTGTTGTCCAATGAGAGGGCTCCGTGAACTTTCCTTTGGGAAGTAAATCATCTCTCTATGTCACATTGACTTCCAAATTTCTATACAGCCAGAGACTCGCATGTTTGTTGGACGGGAGCAGAGAAATCTCAGAGAAACCCTGGTCTGCACTTTTATTTCCTGTCCCTTGAAACATATGGTGATAGAAAATGTCACATGGAAATATACTGCCCTGCCTTGAGGATGCAGTATAAAGGTCACAGTTATCTGCATAAAACAAAACTCATTGGTCATCAATCCAGGCTTACCGGGAGAAAGACAGCATGTCCCACTGGAGAATTTATTATGGTCAAAATGGCATATCCTCTCCCACCTCTCTGTGTTTGCTACAGAATGCAAAGGCAGGAGACATACCAGGATTTAAGCCATTTCAGCTCCCACCTGATAGGCCCTGACAGTGAGTTTCTTCCTTCTGTGCTGGTACTTAAAGGGCAGAGAAGATTGGAGAAAGCCCAGTTACAAGTAATATGTCCACTGGGAAATCAATGACACCAAATGATCATTAAGAGAGTGTTCATGTGGCATTGAAATGCAATGACTTTTACGATGAGAATTTGTTATTGTAGAGTCTCGTGGATTGAGAGTTTGGCATAAAGAAACCTTCACCCTAAATCCCAGCCATTTCCAGACTCCCAAAAGGGTCTCTCCACCAAAGCCCCTGGGTGAATTTTAGCAAATCAAGGCTGAAACTGCAGCTATATGAGCTTAACCATGTAGTTTCACCTCCTTTGACCTTTAATTTTCTCCTTGTAAGATGGGATGGCAATACTCTATTATCTAAGAATCACTGACTAACAGGGACACTTGCTTAAGAAGCCTAGCCTAGCATAAAACAAGTACTCAGCACATCTTAGTATTTGGCACCTCGTATCTTTCTACTAGTTATTTGATTAAAAAAAAAAATAGTAGATACATGATTCACTGGGATTTGCAAAGGTCAAATGAGCCCCCAGGTCAGTGTTTCATTTACCCAAATATCTATCATACAGTGCCTTTTCCCTACTTAGTAAAAGCTTTTTATATTATTTTAGGAAAAAGAAATCCATTTTAGTTTGTGTTTCCTGTGTTGTACTTTGAAAAATCCCCAGAAAAAGCATGAGATACCTAGGTTAGGAAATCTGTCTCCAAGACCTATTGTTTTTAAACTCTGTCTGGCAGGCTTACCCAGTGCAGTGAACCTGGGCTTCCTCATCTGTTATGTTTTGAAAGTTGGTTATAGTTTTTATTTCTTCTGAATAATTCGGATTCAGCTGTGCTCATGAAACGTACCTGTTCTGCACCAGACCTCTTCCCAAGCAGCTTAGCATGCATGAGACTTCATTCCTACAATTACCTGGTGATGTAGAGATTCTCCTTAGAAGACCCAGCCAAGTTCCCACTTATCAGTCTGCTTTTACAAAGCCCCGAGGACCTTAAAAAAATAGGAAAGTCTGCTTTCATCTCCCTTCTCTTCTTACTGGAACAGTTTACAATGTATTTCCATCCAAATAAAGTTAACTGAGCCAGAACAGCTGTGAATGTCCAGGCAGGTCCCAACACAGTGCTCGTAACTATTCAGGTGGATTAAACAGCACCTCCCACATCCTTGCACGGAAGTGGTCTGTTTCCAACCACTCTGTCCACGTGTCAGCCTAGGTGCAAGAAGCTATCATTCACCCAGCATTTAGCTGTCGGAAGGGCTTTCAAAAAGAAAAAGAAAAGAAAACATATACACACATATAAGAATTGGATGGGCTCGTTAAGATTCAACACATGTCATCTCATATACTGATGGATGAATATCCATCAAAGACAAGAAAGGAAGGAGGGCTAAGAACAGTAAAGGATGAAGGATGAAGTGAGGGATGCCAGGCCAGTAGAAAGAAAATGGAAAGTTCAAGTTTACAGGGAGGTTTTCTTGCATAGGATCCCAAAGGTTACTCAGGGAGAAGGTGTGTCCTCCAAAGAAGAAGGGCTTTTAAAAATGAGGCTGTGCTTTTAAAAACAGTTCTTTTCAGTCCTCAAATTAGGCCAGAGACAGGCAGATGGAAACCCGGTCCTCCTGAGAAAGGGAGAAAAACTTCTCTAGAAATCCTTATCTGTAGAACTACGAAATTGGGACACTCAAGGACTGGCTCACCTCTGAGGCTGGAGCAGACTCTGGGCTGTGCATACGTGGGAATTGATGGGCAATAAAGGCAGACTCTACAGTGGAATCGCTGGCAGGGATTCAAAAGAAGAAAATGGTGGGCAACTTGCCAAAGAACTATAAAACTCATAGCTCTAGCAGGATGAGCAGTAGTGTGAGGCAAAACTCGATCCTGGCCTCTGCCTCTGGATTCCAGCACTCCAAGATCTTGAACAAGTCTCAGCCCGTATTTGAGCCTTAATTGTGTCTTCTACCAAAAATTCAGATTTCTTCATGCTTTGAAAAATCATTGCAAGTGGGTTGTTGCAATCTGTAATCATTGCATCCAAGGTCATTAGACTTGACTATAGTTCACTCATTGATTTATTTAGTACATACTACTAAAAAGCTATCATTCTGACAAGGTTAGGGTAAATGAGTGTTACCAAACAGCTTCCTTCAAAACAGAAGCATTTGCATAGACACTGATAAATTTAGTATGACATGAGCCTCTCCCATAATTGAGATTCAGAGCTGAACAGAAGCCCTGCAGTAACCCTGGGCCAGCATTTCCTAAGCTAATCCCAGAAGGCATGGCAAGAGATATCAATGCATGTTTAAAAATGGTGAACAGGGAAGTTCACATCCTCTCTTAGAGATTCACAAGGATGCATGTTGGCATACTACAGGTCCTATAAAGTCCGAAAGTCAAGGAAACTGCTAAACAGAGAAGCAAGCATTTCACACTTTCACCTGATCCCAGACTTAGGGAGAAAACAGGGAAGAAGGGACTGATCCAATTC